AAAGTTCTTGACCTTAACAAATATTAAGAGCTTTCGCTCAATAGACCTAGCAACTCTATATTAACTTCTCGTAGAACTCGAAAATAAGCCAAGGAGAATGTTAACATATAAAACATAAGGAAAAACACAAATTCCTTAATATCTTTCGATCCACCAGTCCAAATTGGATGAAACACATATCATTGGAATCAGCTCACTAAGACGGTTCTAATAAGCCAAGAATCATTGAAATCCAATTACTGGATCCTGAGATAATCAAGATCTGGCTTTTTATTATAATTCGTGCAATCTGATTGGCTGAGCGACTACTGCGGGAGATGCGTTACATGTAGCATTGGGGTTTTCGATATACTAATTAATCAAAACTATGTCAGGTATAATAGTAAAAATTGATAGTACAGATTTTTACAACAATACCTCGTTATTTTAGCCAATAGAATTGTGTACAAATATCACCTGTTACTTATCGAATCGAATTTCAAGATCTCTGTGTAACAGATTAAGTTGGCTATCGCTATCGCTATCACTATTTTTAAACGTTAATGTTCATTAAATAATAAAAAAATAAAACTTTTCATTTAAATTTGTGACAGAGCAGTTGTACAATGCTTTAACACTCAGAACTCGAATTTTATTTGAGTTTATCTATTTAATATTATAGCTGATACAATTTTAATTAAACTTAAGCATGTTAAAGGAAGACTGTAGAAATATCAACTTTAAGTATTTACGTCTATATTATGTCTATATTAAATAAACATTATAACGAATAATAATATAATACTTTTTTTTTGAACTTTAGGAAATTACAACTTTAGCGAGACATAAATAATTCTTTAAAAAGGTCGTCAGCATCCTGTCTATCCGATTGAAGAGAAGTGGTAGAATTTTGTTGGTATATAATTCTATTTTCACTTCGAATATCTTTAAGTTGTTTATAATTAAACTGATATTCTTTTATTTCAGTTGCTGAAAGACGTATTTTGGATTGTTGAGTATTATTAGTCATTTTTGGGTGAGTTTTTAAGTCCCATTTGTTGAATAGACCCTCAACCTGTTGTTGATGGACGATAATATACCAGATTTTATTTTTAACAAAATCGTAGAGCTGAAGGTATTAGTGAAGTTGAACATTTGATTCTCTAACAAATTCACTAAATTCTTGAAAAAAAGATTCTTTAGCTAAAGCAGTTTTAAGCCTGAAGTCATCAAATCTTTTTTGATTTACGTCCATTTCAAGAAATCGCACATAACTAAGTTTTTTTAAAGTAGAAAACTTGGGCCAAGGTTTTTTAAGCACGATGTGCCAATAACTGCATGCAAATTGTTGTGCATTATTTCCACCAAGACAACACATGCTCAAAGGAAGATGGAGCCAATAATTTAACCATTTTTGGTGTAATTCGAGCCCTTTCTGTATTCCATTTTCCAATTTTTGGACCAATAATTCAATTTTTGAATTATCCAAAATTTCTGTACTTTGTAAAAGTTTACCCCCAAAAAATGAGTAAAGATTTTCTACGATGTTTGCGAGTTTACATGTTGAACTAATGATGAAGTCTGACATTTGGTGTGCTCGACGACCTGAAAGTAAACATTGTAATGAATTATCAGGCTGTAAAACTTTTAATTGAGGATCATAACTGACGAGATATTCTGCAAAAGGACGATAAAATTCTTGACTGAACTTAACTAAACATTGAACTTCAATGTTTAGCTCCAAATCGTTTAGCCAACTTTGAAAAAGTTTCCATTTTTGAATATAGGACTTTGGAACTTTTTTTAAAGTTTTAAGTTTTGGAAGGAACCATGAAACAAATTCGAGATAAATTTCACGTCTCTCAAGATATTGTTCTGCCGTAATTAATTCATATTGCCACCGCGATCGTAGGGGATGTTGATATTTAGTTAATGTATAATTAAGCCGTGCCTTATAAAGACTTCGAATTGTTTCACTTCTCATATTTAGTGGTGAGTCCTTGTCACTTTGATCATACCCGTCGTGCAACATCCATATCAGATAAAGAAGATTAAATGGATGGCGTGTCTTTGAAAATCCGGTATTTGTTGGAAGTTTACCGAAGGCCGTCTCTTCAAAATTATTCAAAACTAAATGTAACACATGCAATCCACAGGGAATTCGAACACAATTACTTTGGGCCAATATATTAAATTTTGCTACAGCGCCTCCAGTATGACCGCTCATATAATTGGTATTATCAGAGAGAAAGGTAAGACATCTCCTAGTATCAAGGTTATATTTTTTACAAGATTCAAAAAGAGCCTGACTAACTGTGTCAGAATTGCAGCACTGAAGGTCCTTTGTTTCTAAGAGTACAACATCGGGTATATTTTTTTCCGAATTCCAAAACATAAAACACTCTACTAATATTTTTTTTTCACCCCGACCTGACTCGTCTGTCATGATTCCGAATGAAAAATAAGACGATTGATTAGCTTGTTGAAATATATTTCTTACATGCAACTCTGACACTTCGCGATGCCAACGGCTGACGGTATTTACACCAAGCCAAGACTGGTTATCATCCCTTGTTAAAAAATTAAAAACTGTCTTTATACTTTCCGCTGCAGTATTAAAAGATATTTGGCCGATTTGAGAAACTTGCACGGTAAGATTAATAAAATCTTTATTATACTCCTTTTTATTTTGTTTTATTATATTTCTAATTATGGTTTTTAAATCATTGTCTTTTAATTTCGGTGGACGTTTGGTTACTGCATGAATTCGAGATATATGATGGTAATGTTTATGCTTAAACTGCACGATAGAACTGCTAAGTTGTCTAACTTTATGGGTTGCACAATCTTTAGATTGTTGTAATTTTTTATTTTCTTTTTTAAGTTATTTGTTTTCATTATTTAATATCTCTAATGACTTTTCAGGCTTGTAAAGAGAGCTGGAGACATATTGAATTACTTTGTTTTGTATATAGGGTGATATAATTTGATTTTTATTTTTTCCATACGGATATCTTATTGTATGCAAAAGATGGGATGTTGATTTGAGATCCGTCTCGGACATGTCCTTAAGAGTATTAACTATTGTGTTATATGCTTTAGAAGAATCAGGTTTAACATTCGAATCATTAAAGATCGTATCATGGATTATTTTAAGTTCTTGATCAGTAGTTTTTTTTAAGTGATCTGTTATTTCATCAATAGTTTCTTGATGCTGATTTAGTCTGTGCTTTTTGTCGAGTGATTCACGTGCATGTTTAAGGTAAAGTTGACGTTTTGAAAGGTTAGGCATTGTGCAAAAAGGATTCGATATTAAAAGTTACAATTTACAAAAATTTTTGAAATTCGCTTTGACGCGCTTTTAAATTTTTATTTACAAAATTCAATTTCAAACAATTACATATTTTTTAAAAACTTGACAATATTATAAACAATTACAAAAGTGCAAATGCAATTACTAAAGTCAATTCTAACAAACGTAGTTACAAAGGCCAATTCATAACAAACAATCATTCATGACAAACGCTTATTTTTTTAGTTAAGTGTACTGTTATATGTATTTACAACAAAAGCTGTACTTTAAAAGGGTTCAGCGCTAAAACTAGCTCGAATTTTTTGACAAAATTCGATATATAATATGATAATAAGCATTATTTTAAACTATAGAGCCAGATTTTTAGTAACAAAGGCCAAATCATCAATAAACGTAATTATTTCTGGTTAGAAGATGTTGAATAAGAACAAAAGACAAATTTCCGTTAATGCAAAGCTTAGAAATGTCTAATTGACTAAAAATTTTAAACTATAGCTTGTTTTATTTATGCTTTAAGAGTTGTCTGTCACAAAAATTGCGGTAAAAAAATAGATTCTACATGAGGTGAACTGATTTTTTGAGCACTAATCTTTCGTTAATAAATTTTCGTGATTTTGCCGATCAATTTTTATGCATAAAATCTAACTATAATATCATTGTTAATGCACCTCACATGGTTTTGATTAATTAGTATATCGAAAACCCCACCGATACATGTAAATCATAAAAACGACTCTACATATTTTTTTTATCTTTACTAAATCTATGGATGTTTTCGAATTATTACGATGTATAACTTTAAATATTAGCTTAAATGCGACACTTTCCTTTAACTTATTTTCAAAGATCTTGACACGATTAAACGATCCAACTTCAAATACGTAGCGTTAAGCTTGACTGCAATATATTTTCTTAATTGGATATATACAATTAATCCGGATCTAAATTGGTCTGAACGGCCAGAAAAGCAAGAACTCAATGTAGATGTCTTATCGCAAAAAAAAATTTTTGAACATATTGAACTAAATCATACTAGACAAATAGGAAAAGCGAATGCATGTTTTGTAGTGTTAGTTCGAAATGGTGATCTGCATAGCTTTAGAGCGACGATGAGACAACTCGAAGATAGATTTAATCATAAGTTTAACTATCCCTATGTGTTTTGAACGATGTTCCATTTACTGAAGAGTTCAAGAGACTTACGAGTGCTTTAACTAAGGCAAAAACTGGGTATGGTAAACACATTTAAACATTTTTTTAATTACCGGTAAAATATTCAAAATTTATTATTAATGTTCCATCAAATCTTTTATTATAACACATGATAGGTTTGATCCCAGAAAACCACTGGAGTGTTCCAAGCTAGTGATGCCGACAATACCTTTTATCAAACTTGATAAAAGTATAAACTAGTTACGTGATAGGTTTATACTGTTTATATTTTTGAGGCTCAGTAAAAACTATTAAAGTATAAACTGATAAAACTTTATATCATGTGATAAACTAAGAGTTACGTAATTTAATGATAGCAATAGTTTAATTTTTAATCACAAAGTATATACGTACTAGTATATACTAGTTATATCTTTTTTTATTTTATCAGTTTTAACTACGATAAATGTTAAAATTAGTTTTATCATGTGACAAAACCCAAAACATAGTGCTGATAAAACGTTATGTCGGCATCACTATTCCAAGCCATGTAAATATGGAATTCCTTGAACACAGTTTAGAAAAAATGAAAGACGAAATATTATACGGTGATAGTCTGCCTTATCGTCACATGTGCAGGTGAGTTAATTTCTTTCTACCATATATTTTAAACCTTATTTAATATAATTTTTTTTTTTTTTTTTTTTTTTTTTTTTTAGATATGAATCCGGATTTTTCTATCGACACGAATTGCTGGATAAATATGATTTTTATTGGCGTGTCGAACCTGGTGTTCAATTCTTTTGTGATATCGACCTTGATCCATTTGTTTACATTAGAGATCATGATGTTAAATATGGTAATTATTGTAATATCCCCTTTGATATATCAGTTGTAATGCTGACAAATGATCTCCAACTTTGTAATTTTAGCTTTCACTATTTCATTAACTGAATATCCAAGAACTATACCTACTCTCTGGGATGCTGTCAAAGAATTTATTCAAAAGTATCCGCAATACATTGAAAGTCATAATCTAATGGAATTTAATCGGATGATAATGGCGAAACATATAATTTGTATGTTTGCTAAAAATTTACGTTGCGTATCAATCCTCATTTTTAGATCACATGCTCGTTCTCTAATAATTTTTATTATCAATTTAGGTGTCATTTTTGGTCAAACTTTGAAATCGGTGATTTGAATTTTTGGAGGGGTAAAACATATACAAAATTCTTCGATTATCTTGATAAAAAGGGTGGTTTCTTTTACGAACGGTTAGTATTTTATTTTAACTACAGTAAAATATTTTTGATAGTTTCAACTTATCGGCGGATCTGCATAAAGGATCTCCATCTTCCATTGTGATCATTTGTACGGATTTAGAGTTAATTCAAATTTGATCAAATTTTGATCAGAAATATGAATGATGAGTTTCGCAAGTTATTTGACTGTATAGATACGCTAGACTAATTTATTCATCATTTTTATAATAGTTGGGGAGATGCACCTGTTCACTCAATAGCTGCCGCCCTTTTCTTAAAAAAACACCAAGTG